CCAAGAAAGAATGGGATGTATATACCTTATAGTAAGACGGAGTACAATAGGAGAATACCCGTTACACTTGCCTCCCTCCTGCCTCGACTGGGAAAGGCCGGCTTGCCAGGTCATAAATGCTGCATTTCACAAATTTTCGCCTTTGTAACTGCAAGTACAGTCCAGTCAAAAATATGGTTTTTAATACGAACTTCATGTACTTGAACTCTATTCCACATTGAAGCAACAGTCCAGCCTGAAATTTGTTTTGTAATACTAAACATTATGGAGCCGAAATTTTACATTATATCAAAGAATTGTTCCTAAAATGACAAAAATATGACCTTATTTCAAAATTATGCCAAAATATGCTGTAAAATCAATAAGACTCTAAAATATGCATTTATATGCACAATAAAAACGACATAATTTCAATAAGAATGACTGGAAACATGCACAATTACATTTAAAAATAGGAATAAACCCTAGGAAAAAAAATATGACATGTCATAGAAATCCGGGCTCTAATTATTATGATTAGAGTGATCAAGTCAAGGAGGATGAGGTGGGCAGGGCATGTAGCACGAATGGGGGTGACAAGGAATGCATGTAGGATATTGGTAGGAAAGCCAGAAGGAAAGAGACCACTGGGAAGACCAAGGTGTAGGTGGATGGACAATATTAAATTGGATCTTAGAGAAATAGGATGTGGTAGTGTGGATTGGATTGATCTGGGTCAGGATAGGGACCACTGGAGGGCTCTTGTGAACATGGTAATGAACCTTCGGGTTCCATAAAATACTGGGAAATTATTTAGTAGCTGCAGAATTGGCGGCTCCACCAGAAGGGCTCAGCTCCATGAGTAAGTAGGTAAGTAAGTATAAAATATTATTAAATTCAGGCAAACATGTGTGATTTCAAAATATTTGGTATGTGAGCTGAAAAAAAGAATGGATTAATGCTTTTGGGCATACTTGTTAAAATGGGTTGAGGTTATGAATTCATTTCATTTGAAGGTTAAATCATTAATTTTTGCAGATGATTAGTCTTCAGGTGTCTTTATAGTTTGTTTCATATTAAATGTTCTTCGCAGGCCGCAGGTGAACTTGGTATTGCTGTGTGCAATGTCCCTGGATATGGCGTAGAGGAAGTAGCTGATACTACGCTATGTCTGATCCTCAACTTGTATCGTCGAACCTACTGGCTAGCCAACATGGTTCGGGAAGGCAAGAAATTCACAGGGCCTGAACAAGTACGAGAAGCAGCTCAAGGCTGCGCTAGAATACGTGGAGATACTCTCGGTATTGTTGGACTCGGTAAGTGACACGAATCCATGCGTGCATTTAATGCCACTAAAGAGTTTAGTGCAAGTATTGTTATATCTGCCTATGTAATGTGTGTTATGAAATGAAATTTTAAGTTATAATACTTTATTTTAAATTTGTAGGTCTTTTACATGCAGTTCAGATACATTTTTTTATATAAAAGGGAGATAATCAGATCTAAAATATCTTACTGGCAAAAAGCTGAGGAATCACTTTTGTAGTACAATACACTGCACAGTTGGGGTACATCATTGTGTGTTGTTGTCACAACCTGCTGTTTTAGTGTATGTCATTCTTGCTGCTGTTTCTGTTTGCTTTGAGCCAGGATAGCTCAGTTGGTATAACGACAGGTTACAGGCTGGACAGCTCGGGTTCATTTCCTGATAGTGCAAGATTTTTATGTTCTCCACAGCATCTAGATGGGCTCTGGTGGCCACCCAGCCTCCTATCAAATGTGTACCAGGGGCTCTTTCCCTGGGGTAAAGCAGCAAGGGCGTGAAGCTGACCACTCACCTGCATCTAAGTGCTGAGGTCAAGATTAGTGGAGCTATGCCTCCGTTCCCCAATATGTCTTCATGGCATTGTACTTGACTAATGAAGCACAGGGACAAATTTATCTGCCACTTCATGTTATGTTTTCATGTTTAAGTATACTGTAGATTTTTCATCATCATATACAGTTAAACAAAGAATTTCACATCTTTATGATAACCCTGTATGTCTGGTGGGGCTATGTCTGCACTTTTGAAAACTAAAAGGATTCTTTTAGCAAGAGAAATGGGCCTTGTATTTGTGTTGGTGGAAGTCAAAGGTTTAGCAGCTAAACATGTTAAAGAAGCCTGTTGGTGGTAGTACTGATTTGATTATATGTAAGGTGGAGATTAATCACAATAGATCATTGAAGGTCACAGTGCAGGGGCTGGATTTTATGGCCCACCCCGTACAAGGTGGAGATTTGTTATGTATTTATGAGGAGTTAAATGATACTATGCTGGATAAATAGTTAAATGAGGGTCGTACTGAGAGTCATGAGCAACATCTTTTTGTAAAGTAACATGCTTTATTATTGACGAACCAAATACACCATCTCAATCTACAAACCTTTCTTTATTTTTCCACATAGTCGCCACTTTTTGTACACATTTCTCCAAGCGTTCTGGGAGTTTGAAAATTCCCCTTCTGTAAAATTCCGTTCCAGCCATCCGAAGACACTGACGCACTGCTCTCTGAATGCCTCCCTTGTCTCAAAACGTTGTCCATGCAGCTGATCTTTCACAAAGCCAGTCGGAGGATGTCAGATCAGGGCTATAGGAGGAGTGTAGAAGAACTTCCCACCCCATCTTTGCAGTTGCTTCCAATGTGAGGCGAACGGAGTGGGGGCGAGCGTTGTCATGCAGGATGATGACGATGTTTCGTCCCGGACGTTTATTGCGCGCTGGATGACGGAGCTTGTGCAGCGTCTGGACATAACGAGCAGCATTGATGGTTTGCCCAGGTTCCAGGAATTCGGCCAGAATAAACCCCTCTGCATCCCAGAAGACTGTGCCCATCACCTTCGCAGCTGATGGCACCGTCTTCGCCTTTTTTTTTTCTTTATGGAGAATGCAAATGGTGCCATTCTATGCTCTGCCGTTTCGTTTCGGGCTCGAAATGGTGAAACAAGCTTTCGTCACCTGTCACGGTACAGAGCAAAAAATCATCGCCTTCGTGTCGATATCTCTGCAGCAGTTCTGAGGTGATGGCTTTTCGCTGACCTTTGTGGTTTTTGGTCAATAACTGCGGGACCCAACGAGCACAAACTTTCCTATAGTCCAAGCTTTCAATCATTTCCTGTACTGTGCCCTATTCCAAGTTTTCGGGCTATTGTGTCCACAGTCACGCCTGTCATCTTAAATGATCTCATCCACTCTTTTGTTGTTGCGTTCAATTGAGGCTGTTCGAGGACAGCCGCTCCGAGGCTCATCTTCGATGCTGTTGTTCCCATCTTTAAAATATTTCACCCATCTTTGAACACTGCTCGCACCCATGCACACACTTCCATAGGCACGCTGAAGTCTCTGATGAATTTCTGCAGCAGGGACTTCCTCTTTCACAAGAAATTCGATGACAACACGCTGGCGAAACGACATATCGTTGTCAGCCATTTTGTTAGTAGTGATACTGGTCACATGATGCAAGCTATTGACGTCACAAGACACTCAAGGTTAACACAACAGCTGGTTCCACCTACCACTGTACTCTCTTTCGTCTGCTGTTCCCAGATTGCATGCAAAAAACGTTGCTCATGACTTTCTGTACGACCTACGTATGTTAATGGGGTCTGTTTATATTTTCCACAGCCAAAAGGGTTCATAGGCAGTTGGTGATGAAAGAGTTCTTGTGTATGTAATCTGTTCATAGTATTTTGTACACAAACTTAAAGAGTCTTGATTTTCTGTATTTTGTACGCTTTAATTAAGAGTGTTGATTTAACAGAGTTTTTGTCGTATTACATTGGGTATTTTTTATTGCTGGTTAGGTCGCATTGGATCTGCAGTGGCTCTTCGAGCCAAGGCATTTGGTTTCAATGTTATCTTCTATGACCCTTACTTGCCTGACGGAATTGAGAAATCACTTGGTCTGACTCGAGTCTACACATTGCAAGTGAGTTTTACAAGTGTTTATGTCCAACGGGATCTAGTTAATATTATTTATTCCAACAACTGTGTTGTAGAATGTTAATAGAACTTCATATTGAGTTCTTGTATATTTGCTGTAGGATAATTTGTTGTTTTCTCCCTTCTCAGGACTTGCTTTTCCAGTCAGATTGTGTGTCACTTCACTGCACACTCAACGAACATAACCATCACCTTATCAATGAGTTCACCATCAAGCAGATGAGGCCAGGTAATACAGTGTCTTTTAAATTTGTAATTTATTTCCCTTTAAATAAGAAATTAGTATTGACCCTTTCGCAGTCTGGTTCGTATGTGGTGTGGTGAATCTTCTGTGTTGAGAATTATTGCAGTATTAGAAACAATCATAGGAAATTTTATGGATGAATTTTTAATATTCACCCCTGCACTCTTTTTTAAAAAATTAAGCCATTACTTTTGTCACTGATGTTATGCACTTGCTTGAAAGTTGCAGATCAGCCATGTGTATACAGATGTCACTCATCCCATCTGAAACATACACACTACATCATGCCCCACACATAAACACACAAGGAAGCTTTCAAGAAGTAGTCAGTGATTGTTGGTGATTCTTCCTCAGAAGTAGTTACCAGGGGTAGCCAGGAGGTGTCAGCAACTTTCAGTTTTTGTTGCTTATCAGTGTGATGTGTAAGAGATGGTGGGAATTTTAAAATATTGAATACAGATAATTGTTCCATGACCTGGCAGAAGTGTGTTTGCTTTGTGATGCTAGAAGGTTACTGTGGACTCCTCATGCTCATAATGTTATATTTCCCAGAGCACTTTTCCGTAGGTTGTATGTGGTGTTTCTAGGGATGTAGAACTTATTTCATAAAATTAACAAAAAATATCATAATAATATTTCTGTCATGTTGATACCGGCAAATCGACCTCCCGTATTTTAAAAGACAGTTACAAACAAACAAAGAAAGATTCAGAAAAAATAATTTTATTTGTGAACAACAAATACGATGCTATTTCACTTTACTTGGTTTTAAAAATTATTTCCGGTAAATGGCGTCCTCCATTGTTCACACATTGACGAAGCGTTTTCCGGAAGTTGTCCATAGTTCTTCGTGTCATTTCTGGTGGAATGGCAGCCACTGCCTGGGTGATTGCCTCCTTAAGTGCTTGCAGGGTTGTGAGGCGATGTTTGTACACTTGCGCCTTTAAGTGTCCCCAAAGAAAAAAATCACGTGATAAATCGGGTGACCTTGGGGGCCAGGCGATGTCTCCTCGCAAAGAGAGAAGACGTCCAGGAAACAGCTCTCTCAGAATTGCTAAAGAACGCCGTGAAGTGTGAGCTGTGGCTCCATCTTGTTGGAACCAGGCTTGTCCCTCTTCATGGTCCCCAACAAACTGGTTTGACTTAGGTCGGAGGAAGGTCTCGATCATGTGACAGTAGTGATTCGAAGTAACCGTTACCGTTAGCCCATTTTCCTCGAAAAAATAAGGACCCCACACACCAAATTCAGCAATGGCGCACCAAACTGTCACACGAGGGCTGTGAAGTGGTCGTTGGTGAAGTTCCTGAGGGTTTTCTGCTGACCAGTAGCGGAAATTTTGTTTATTTACAGTACCTGACAAGTGGAAGTGGGCCTCATCAGATGAAATCAAAACAGCGCCAGAGGGAATGTTCTGAAGAATGTCCTCACACGCAGCTTTGCGAGTTTCAAAATCTCTCTCACTTAATTCTTGGGTAACCATCATTTTGTATGGGTGCATGTGTAGATTTCTGTGCAGGATTCTTCTTACACTCCTATCAGACAATCCCAGGGCAGCTGCATGTTTAAGTGCTGAACGCTTTGGAGGTTGCTGGATGGACGCTCTCACACGCCCCACATTTTCCGGCGTTGTTATGGTCCGAGGTCAGCCAGGCGATTTCTTTTTCAGTGCAGAACCTGTTGCTCTAAAGTTTGATACCCAAACGTGAATAGTTTTTCTATCCGGAACAGGATCATGTTGGCCAAGTTCGAACCGAATGCGAAATGCTCGCTGAGTAGTAATCACTGATTTACCATTACGAATATACCCTTCCACAACAACGCACGATGCTCACCGTGCCACGCCATTGCCACTACTGCAAATGGCACTTATACCGCTATCGATCGATACCCCCTCCGCCGCTGTATCCCCACCACAACTCACACAGTGCCCTCTCCAAATACGGGAGGTCGATTTGCCGGACCCTGTACTTTCCATTTCTAGTTCAGTGCCGAGGTGGCCGTTGTTCAGTATTATGGTTGCCTCAACACTGAACTTGCATAATAGTATTAATACTGAAAAAAATGCAAGACATATTCAGTAAGGGTTTATAAAGGCAACCTGAAATATGTAAACAGGAATTTGTAGGAGTTATATACATCTTAGTCTTAAGAACAGTGAATTTTATTGGCAGGAGCATTTTTGGTGAACACTGCACGAGGGGGCCTAGTGGACGATGACTCTCTAGCCGCTGCTCTCAAGCAAGGACGAATCCGTGCAGCAGCTTTGGACGTGCATGAGAACGAACCATACAATGTATTTCAAGGTCAGTCAGCTGGCAATGGTAAGACAATGAACATCATTTTGTGGACTGCAGACCATTTTCCTGTATTGGCCTGAAGAGGCAGTTTTAGTGAATTGTAGACAAAATGTCATAATTAGAAAGAGCTGGGATATCTCATCCGATATAATGACGGGCTACAGGCTGAATGACCCATGCTCGATTCCCATCAAGATTTTTCTCTTCTCCACAACATCCAGACTGACTCTGGTGCCCACCCAGCCTCCTATCCAGTGGGTACCAGCAGCGATTTTCCATGGCTTAAAGCGGCCAGAGTGTGAAGCTGACCATTCACCTCCATCTAGTGCTGAGGTCAAGAAAGGTGGAGCTGTACCTCCACTCTGCCATATGTCTTCATGGCGTAGTGCTTAATTAATTAAGCATAGGGACAACTGTACCTTTTATGTTATAGTCAAATTATTAATATTCAGACAAACTGTCCAGGCTAAATATTTTCTTAACTATACTCTGTCCTTGTGGGTTAATATAGGATCTGTGCCTTAACTTTTTGCTGACCAAGTGTCAAAATATTGTGACATTAGAATGCTCCTTTATTTTGAACCCACCTGTAGCAACTACAGCACAAATATTTTTAAATACCAATACCATTGTAAATTAAAACCTTCCACTTAACGATATGCTATGACTGGTTCTGTTCACATTGTTTCTGATGCATCATTCAGAAATTACCCTGCCATTTCATGTTACTTTTTTGGCGAGTTTTCTTGGAGGTGAAAAAATGTTCATTAAATCATCATCCAGTGAATTCCGTATTTGTAGGTCCATTGAAGGATGCCCCAAACCTACTGTGCACACCACATGCTGCTTTTTACTCCGACGCGTCATGCACAGAGCTTCGTGAAATGGCAGCGAGTGAGATACGGCGTGCCATTGTGGGAAGGATTCCCGATTGTCTTCGCAACTGCGTCAACAAGGAGTACTTCCTCAGCACTACAGGATATCCTGAAGGAATCAATGGAGGCTACTATGCAGGAGCTCTCCCTGTTCAGCAAGCCCATTCTACCACACCTCATGATCAGGTGCCTCATTCTGTGGCAGCTGGAGGAGGTGGCGCTGGGACTGCACCGGGTGGGGCTGCAGGTGCAGTTGCTGGATTACAACATAGCATAGTAAGTACTCTGCAGTCAGACATAACCTGAAAATTCTAAATAAGATCTAGAAGCTTGTGTTGATGGTATATTAATGCAATTGTTGTGTTTTGGGGCATTATCTGTTGTCCCCCCCCTTTTAACAATGTTCAAGAGACGTCATTCTCTCCCCAGTCCGGAGATAGGGATTATCTCTGTTGATTGGGTCCAGCTGAATAGTTTTTTACCTGAAGATGGAACCCGGTCTCTCAAACATTGTCTTTTAAAGAGAAAACAAGACAATGGATAATGCCCAAAAACAATAATTGTACTAAAAATTCTACTTCGTTACCGTGTTGTCATTTTAAAACACACCGAGAGTTAAAAAGTTGTGGATTTGTTTCTGCTCTCCATACAAAGTTTTCTCTTTTCTTAGATATTGTGGTTTTTTAATTGCCACTGAACATTAAGCTAAGTGTGGATTTCACACGGTTGCCATGAACTTGCTTTACACTCAGCAAAACAATAACATTTACAGCCGTTGCATTTTGTGGGTAACCATATTGTACAAAATGTCAGGCCTCACCATTAAGTTTCAGTACTGATGCTGTCATTTCAGAAGTTCATATGGCCTCTGTGTTGGTGTTGTTTATGGTGGGAGGATTGAAAATACGAAAATGGCGTAGCCAGCAACAACATGACATCCATATGAAGTTTTCGGCAGTCATAGCATCATAGTGTTTACAATATAAATTCAGTAACTGCCAAATTTAAATGGGGGTGCTAGTGCCGTTGCAGCAGGAGACTCAAGCCCCCTGTGCCTGATTGGGGAGGTTAGAAGCTCTGAGAATGGTGGTGTCCATCAGAAGTGTATGTCTTTGATTGGACAGTGTACTCAGGAAGAAAGGCTTCGGGGGGTTAATGAATGCCATTTGAAAGACCCCTAGATACTTTTTGTAAGATGAGAAAGTTTGTGTGTCTCAGGCCTACACAAGGTCACCATGGTGCCCTGAGTTTTCATCCTTTTATGTTACTACTAGCAGTTCTTTATTCTCTGTCCTGTATCTCCTCTTTGCTGATGTTGTCTTCCCATGATTCATGTATGGCGACGTAACCTTAGAAACTGCAGCTCTCTACACTAATATGGCAGTTTTTGTAGAGCTAAACGAGCACCAATGATCTATCTTCTTTCAGAACCTGACGAGTCTCCCATTTTGCGATTCTCTCGGGATAGTTTCAAGTCCTTTAGACACCTGTTTGACATTGTAGGTACATATTTTATGTAACCGATTGTGAGGCTTCATGTGTCTCCATTTCAAACTGCTATACTAGATCCATGCATAAGCCTATATTTAAACAAGGCTGAGACTCATTTCGTAGCTCGACAGACCAATACGTTCCAAGGCCTCTCATCACCCTGCTTCCATAGACATGTTATGGACAAATTGTCAGGACTCCATGGACAGGGGATCGACCTCTTGCAATGATTCTGCTTGCACAGGACAAGAGAAACAAAGAAATCCATATATATATATATGCCCCATTTGGGATTCGAACCTGTGATCTCAGTGTTCGTGTGGCAGGAGACAGTGTACGCCTTGAACAGTGCTGCCGCTGTTATCGGCAGGCTGAACATTGTTCATAGAATGAAACTTATTGAACGGACCTTCTTTTCTGCAATATCATGACTTAACTGCTCCTCATTTAATTGTACATTTATTGCACAGCTAACACGTATACATACAGAGCAGCTATATCTAGTGTCGAAGCACTAGGTTTATATTTCGGAGGTGCTCCGTTTGAATTTCGAATGGGACACTTGCTGTCATGTATGAGTTCGTTCTTGATTTTCCTCGGTCATTCGATGAAAATTCCAGGTTAGTACCTGTAGTAGGCCACTAATGCTTCCTTCCATATCCTTTCCAATTCATCATTCATAAGCCCTACCACTCGACGCTGTACACGTATAGTCTTGATACCGATAGCGTTGTGAAGTAACCTACAAAATAGGCTGTGCCATAGCTCAAGTGGTTAGTCGCTGGCTTCCCACCGCAGTGGGTCTGGTCAAGTGAGATTTGTGGTGGATAAAGTGGCCCTGGGGCAGGTTTTCTCCGAGTACTTCGGTTTCCCCTTCCAATCTTCATTCCACCAATTGCTCCACAATCACCCTCACCTATCATCTGGGGCTGGTACAGTAGGCCAGAAGTGGCTGCAGTACAAGGGACTTAGTCCCACCCCACTAGCAATAAAAAAAATCTCCCATCGTTTGTCCCAAATTTGCTTTATGATCCCTGTTATTTGCCCATCCTGTCATTTCCTCCCCCCCTTTCTTCCTCTATCACCTCTTCATATCTCTTTCCCTCTTTTCACCTGCATTTCTTTCCCCTCCCTTCTATTTAGTCTGTGCTGTTTTCCTTCCCCTCTCCTTGTATCATGGCAGTAGATGAAGGTAGTGTACTTTTTCCCTGCCTCTGTATCATTGTGTTGTGTTTTCCCGTAGCTTCACAGGAACTGGCTTTTATTTACATGTTGAAACTTCAGATGCCCATCTGTTAATAAAAAAAGTAAATTTTGTTCCTGAGGTATTCTGTTTTTTATATTGGCTCCTAGTTTTTGAAAATGCCTTCTAGATTTTTAGGAAATTGTTGCAGGCCTGATGTGTGTGTATGAATGAATGATTGAATGTATAAGGGGTCAGCCTTCTTGGCCCTTGCACCGTGACCACAGTGATCTATTGTGCCTCCTCTTCTGATTATCCCCTCAACAATCCTGCGCTTCGAATGAAGCATAGGATTTTGTACATGAGGACGTTGAAATAGTCACTTGGTTCTGTAAAATATTGACCCAAGTGATGCAATCTTAAATAAGCTAAGACCTCACATTCACACAGGATATGTGTGGCTGTTGCATTTTCTTCTTGACATCTCTCGCAAGTTGAACTATTAATGTGTGTGTGTATACAGTGGAACCTCGCTTAACGAGTAATTCGCATAATGATCAAAACAAATTGTAAAAAAATGACTCGCTTAATGAGCGATGTTTCGCATAACGGGTGACAAGAGGGGAAGTCTGGATTGTGTGCTTGCTACATCAGTCTGTGTTTAGCACTCGTTCTGCTAGCATCTTACAGTCGCTTGTGATCACACATTTTTCCAAACTTGTGTTCAGACATATTATTTGTGATTCATTTTTGTGCAAAGTTTAACCCTTGCAAAAATGTCCCCGAAGAAAAAGCCGCAAAAATACAGCCATGTGAGAATAAAAATAACTGTAGAAATGAAATATAAAATCATTGAAAAGTGAGAACGAAGTGTGAGCGTGGCTGATCTAGCACGCACATACAATCGGTCTGCATCAATGATTTGCACGATTTGGAGTTGCATTGTGTTTCACAGCAAGAAGTTATGGAGGAGAGTTTGTCAGAGGAGGTAACAGCAAAACAACAATCTTCTGGCGCAATAAGAGATATGCTGAAAGCATGGGAAACTGTTGCATCGTACATTGAGAAGCATCACCCTAATAAGGCAGTGGCTATGCGCACTACAAATTTATTTAATGATAATGCTGTGTCGCATTTTCACCAAATTTTGAAGCGTCAGCAGAAACAAATGTCTCTAGGCAGCTTTCTAGTAAAAAAGAATTAGATATGTATCATAAATAATAAACTAATTATTTCGGTTTTTTGTTTTGTTTTTGTTTTCTGCAAATCGAATTCGCATTCCCGGTTGGTTCATTCCGTGTAGAAGAAAAGATGAAGATGATTCACGGTCCTTAACAATGTATATGTAATTTTCTTTGAATAAATATTATACATAAAATTTTTTGAGTATTTTGTTTTTGGCATGGAACGCATTATCGTATTTTACATTAATTTATATGGGAAAAATTGTTTTGCTTAACGAGTGTTTCGCATTACGAGTAAGATACTGGAACGAATTATGCTCATTAAGCAAGGTTCCACTGTATATATATATATATATATGTTTGTGTGTGTGTGTGTTTGTGTTCTAAGGAAATGATCAAACAGTGCACGAACAGGTTTATGTAAATTAATATTTACTTTCACAGATTTGTTGCCATTATAGCTCAGTGTTATATATGCAAGTTGTGCTAAGTAATGCGACAGACATACTACGATTGTGACTGGAAATATAAATATGATAATTTTTCTCTTTGTAGCCCCCACTCAGCACTCCAGACCCATCTAATCATCACTCGCAGAAGCCCGAATCATCTGAGGTGCACTAACACCAAGTTGTCATGTCTCGAAAGAAGAAGTAATCCCTGAAATCAGTAACCCCAACATCTCTTCCTGGGATAATCTTTGCCCAGAGAGCTACAAAGATGATGGAAAAATGAAGATTTTCTAGAAGGAGATATCAGAGCTGCTGAACAAATGTGTCAAGATTCGTTAAATCTTACATTTCATATTGGTTTAATGGTAGAACATAGCAAGAAGGAAAACTTTTTTTCAGTGAGTCGACCTAACACAGAAAGGTGGAATGGAAGTGCTTTTTTTTATTACTACTATTATTGCAAACAAGTACAAACAAAACTCCCCACTGGACATTGTTGTTGGATGTGCCACTGTTTCCTGCCAACTTTCGTTTTCTCCCTCACTTGTCCACATTGAGGATTTGGCTTCCATTTTCAAAAATAGGTCTTACATTCTGCTGGGTGAGTGGATTGCATAATATTGGGACTGTGTCCTGTATGTTTAATCAGAGCCCATGTTTTATATATCTTGGTTTCAGGGCTCACATCTGGCAAGACAAGACTTGTAGTCATTACAGTTTTAGTTTGATACAGACTCTTGCCACTTCTTTTGTATATATAGAAGTTTAATCAAAAATAATATTGCGAAAATTTCAACCCAGAATTACTTTTTTCCTATTGCTTAACAAATATGACTCCAGAGAGTTACATGGCAGCCAGTGATACGATAGAAGTCACTTCAGAGGACGTAGAATTGTAGCAGAATGGATGGACTATAGGGGCTGCCTTGGTATTAGACCAAGTGGAGTGCTACTTAAGTTCACATTGATATCTGACTTGAATTTTTAGTTCCCACTGTAATTCTCTAATATCTGAATTACCTTTATTGTTCCATGTTTGGGCAGTTAATAACTCTTGTTTGTCATTTGAAGTTAAGTCGCTTACTGCAGGCATAAACTAGGTGAAGAGCAGTGGAGGCCACATGTTGCATTATTAATTGATGAAATTTTATGTGAAATAGAATTATATTTGTGAAAATGGTAAGTTAGCTGCATAGTGGTCCAGTAACAAAAGGTTTAGCCATTGCGTCTATATTGGGAAAGTGGTTAATGGATTTAAGTTGAATGACTGGAGCTGTTCGATTTCTCTGGTCAAAAAATCTCCGTTAAAAAAAATGAAAGGAGAAGACTGATGTTTTACAAGGATCCTGTTATGTATTGTATTTTTTTTAAGAGATGACATATGTATAACTTATTCACATTTAATGTAATTTCAGCTTTGTGTTTTTTTTTCTGCTCCTGTATCCCATAGATGAATTTTGGAAACAGGCAGAGGTATACAGAGATACTGGGTTTTTGGACTTTATCCATTGTCCGGATTCTAAATAACTAAGAATCCGGACGATGGATAAAGTCTGAAAACCCAGTATCTCCGTGTGTTATACACCATCGTCAGAACCCTATAGCATCTACTGGCAAAGGTATCATTAATTGGAAACTTTGATGCTGGTTTGAACGATACAGTTATGAAAAGTTGTCATATTGTGGGTGGCTTTTTCTTCTATTATAATTGGACTAGAACCTTTTAAGGTGTATAATTTTGTAAGTTATATATCTTTATAATTTTTTTTTAAAAAAGGTTTCAAAATTTATAGTTTAATTGGAATCAGAATATTTTATTTACATATTTGATATATCATAGCACGTGGTAGCGTAGTTGATTGAGGCACTATGCTGCAAACTGGAAGGTCACAATTGATTTCTGATGAGGTGGATTTTTTCAATAGACCTAATCCTTCCAGCCGCACTATGGCCCTGGGGTCGACTCACCCTCCAGCAGAAATGAGTACCAGGAATATTCTTGGAATGTTATTGGGGTTAACAGGTGGCTGGCGCATAAGGCTGACAACCTCACTGCCATCTGTGGGCCGATTTTCTAGAAAAAGTGGAAGTCTCAACGTCTCTCAACCCTATGGGCCTCCACTGCCACTTATAGGGATACCTTTACTTACTTACTTGACTTTATTTGATATATCATAAGGATTTTTACCCTCTTACTGCCTCTTTATGACACAGACATCTAATTTTTATAATGCACTGTCACCAAATATGACCTAACATGGTTCAGACAATTCTTGAAAGGTGACAGAATCTCGTGAAGTTTTTGAAGTGAGTAAATAAACTCCACGCAATAAGACTGCATCAAAGCTATATAGTCTGAGATATTGACAGCATCATTAAATAAATGATGAATAGATAAAGAAAGTGGAAATCCTATTTAAAGTTTACCATAGTTTTACCTTCATTTAAGATTTTCTGCAGTTTAGTGATCAAATCCATTGGTGTGTAAAGAAGCCTTAAATGGGGGTTTCCACTGTAAGTGAGACTGCTGCATTTGAGTTTGAGTGTGCCCTATCTCAGTAATTGATCATCATGTGAACCACAGTGATGGTGTTTGAAACCTTCATTACTGCACGATGAAAATGAATACTCTGACAGCACTCGCCCAGCAAAATTAAGAGCTATATGGAAAATGCATTCTTATCCTGTTCATCCATCTTGTCACCCTGCATGCAGGAATGTTTGTGTGGACTGCAGGCAGTAGTACAAAATCGGCACTCCTGGCCAGTCCTGCCAAACCCTTCCTTCATTATTATGATTATTCTACAGGGGCACATCATAACTTTTGATAGGTGCAAGTTTTTGTGTGTATGTGTATGAATGGCAAAACAGCTGTGTTACCTTTTGGTTGATTATTGGTGGTGGATTGGAAACTTCTGTCAAAACTTAGCAGGACTGAGCATTGAAAGAGAAACAAGTATACATGAAGAAGTGTTTTCCTTTTGTCTTAATTTTAGGAAGGGGGAGGAGAAACGTCAGTGTGTAGAAAATCGATGACAATTCTCCTGATTACAATGTGTAATGGGCAGATTGTATTGGGAGTCCAATCTGATTATAATGCTGGGATGCTTTGAAGAAGACCTTATTAAAAACCTGTTGAGGGCCACAATGAATGTAACTACAGTGGATAATGATATAATCTCTTCTTTTTTTTCTCTCTCTCCAGATGGCTTTTAAAGAAAGTTTTTGAGAGTGCGAAGTGAACGGACATGAATGTGACATGAAGTGGTAGCAGTCAGGATCCTCTTGTGTTACCGAGCGGATAGAACAAGGACCCGAGTCAATACTATAGTAATATGTACAATTTTGTTTTCCAAGGAAATGGCATAATAGAGATGGGACATTCTAATGTTCATGCAAGTGGAACTCCCAACAAAAGAAATAAGAAAAGTCCTAAAATTTACGTCATGTGTAGAACTTATACTAATGGTACTTTTGAAACACTATCGCAGCATATTTTTCTCCTTTTTAAAATTCAGTTGCCAAATCAATGATAAGTGCAGAATATATGTCTCTCTTTACATATAACTGGCTTTGCCTGAAGGAAGAGGGATTCATTTCACCCCTCATGAACACTTGAAGACAGTCAAGATGTAATGTTATTTTACACAGTCCAACTTGGCACAACCAGTTGATGGTTCTACGCAGTATAGCATATACATGGAAGAAGTATGTTTGTATGTCATTGTGAGTTGTCAGAATTGCTCATTCGCAATAAAATTCAATCAAACAATTATGTTTGATAATGTAATGCATATTCATATGTGTGTGCATACAAGAAAAATTCTTTTAGGTGTGTTAGACCAGTCAGGTGGTGCATGAAATGATAATTTTAACAGTGGATGCGGCACGTTATTGAGAGGGAATGCAGAAGGATATGTAAACATGTATCTTTCAAGAAATAAGCAGGGAAAAATCCTGGGGGGTGTCTTTGATGAGGAGACATTGTCAGTTGTAAGCTTATATATACATACACAGACAGTGGAATCCTTGTAAGTTTTGAGGTTTTTCACGGCGATGACTATGAAGAAAGTTGTCTTCTGGGTTTAGGCACCGTGTATTCTTCGTTTTGGCTGACGTTTCGGAGGAACATAGCGCCTCCATCTTCAGAGCAGTTGAATGGCTTGGAATGCAGAGAGCAGTAGCCTAAACCCAGAAGACAACTTTCTTCAGTGGAATCCTTATTTAAGGTTTTCTGTCACATAATCATTTTCTATCATCCTGTGTCAGTAATCTTAATTTTAAATTTCCTCCATATAAGGCATTCCTCTCCTGAATGTAAATTTCTGCTCCTCAGAGAAACATTGTGAATGTTGGCTTTGGCTCCATTTTTCAGGTAGAAGGAAAGGGTATAGAGGGCTGCTGTTGTATACACTTAACGCCTTCAGTATGTCCTCAAATTACTTTGTCTGTCTTTATAACAGGTGCCCATTTTGTCTCTGTTATTTGCCCTTTGCCATCATCAGTTTGTTTCTTCATCTTCTAACCATCTCATTTTTCTCTCCTAAGAAACTTAAAGCCACCCTTGTTTGACCCCTTCTGATCACATGCATCAGTCACTCAGCCATCCTTTTATCTGCTACCAGATCAAGGGTTTCAGTTCTTATTTGGTTCTGATTCCAGAAATCTCTCCCCATCGTATACTACTCTGTCCAAAAAGTATCCGACCTTGAGCCGGGGAAAAAAGTTCCGTATCTGGGTGGTTACAATACCTAATCGCCTTCAAAGTAGGCCCCTTGTGACTCCACACACTTAGCCCAGCGATCCTTCCATCGCTGGAAGCAAGTCTGGAAGGCTTCTTTTGGAATGACGTGCAGCTGCACCGTCGCGTTCTGTATGATGTCCTCGCGGCTGTCAAAACGGCAGCCTTTTAGCGGTGTCTTCAATCTCGGGAACAGCCAGAAATCACAAGGAGCCATGTCAGGAGAGTAGGGAGCCTGGCCAGGAAACCCTGGATCAGGTGTGATGAATGAGCTGGGGCGTTGTCATGATGCAGCTGCCAGTTGCGTGCATCCCACAGCTCCGGTCTCTTGCGCCAAACTGCATCACAAAGATGGTGGAGGACTTCTTGGTAGTACTCCTTATTGACAGTCTGGCCTAGTGGTGTGTACTCATGATGCACAACAGTCAGTATCACCTTCACATTGCTCTGAACCTGTTGTGCTCTTTGGGGCCTTGGGGATGTTGGATGCTTCCATGGTGATGCCTGGACCTTGGTTTCCGGGTCATATCCGTACACCCACTACTCGTCACCAGTGATCACAGTCTTCAGGAACTCAGGATCCCTGTTGGCGCACTCCAGCATGTCCTGCGCGACGTCAGGTCGGAGTTGTTGCTGCTCCGGCGAAAGCAGCTTGGGCACAAATTTACCGCCACTCTTCGCATGCCCAAATCCTCAGTTAAAATTGTGTTTGCGGATCCTCTGCTGATCCAAACCTCATCACGAACTTCATGGATGGCCAAACGACGATCCACCATGATCAGTGTCTGCACTTTTTCAATGACATCAGCATTTTGGCTCGTTGACGGTCTCCCGGAACGCTGCTCACTGTCTGCTGGCATACAGCCATGTTTAAAGCAGTTGAACCACTCTTTAATTTGAGTGACCCCCCCCATTGCATCATTGCCGAAAGCCTGCTGAATTTTGCTAATTGTTTCCACTTGGGTATCCCCAAGTTTCTGACAAAACTTAATGCAGTATCGCTGCTCCAAGCGTTCTGTCATCTTGAGCGAAACGACTGCGACGAACACGCGTTACACCACTTCGCTATCTGGCAGCCATAGACACATCCGGCAGTGTTGCGAGTCAGCAAAAAATCACGCATGCGCATGAAAGTCCCTTCTACCACTACGCTCAGTTTCCCCACCCCTTTGGCCATTACTTACAGCGGAAAAAAATAAAGTTGGATACTTTTTGGACATACGGTATAGTTAGGCCTTACTTGTAGGTATAGGACAGTTCTTGTCCATCTTCAGGTAGAACAGAAAGGGAAAGTATCTCATTATAGCCATACGGAAACAACTGTGCTCTTAGTTTGTAGTTGTAAAAATATATGGAGGCAGGTGTTTGTATAAGCATTGGACTTACCCGTTCCCATGTTCTGTTTGTGCTGGGTTTTTTTCCCGCCCTTTTTTCCTTGCTTGCTTATATTTTTGGTTTGTTGATTCCTGTTTCTTGTTGAGTCAGAGAATAGAGTCATAACAGTACCGTGCAGGCTACCATTCATTTACATTGCTTGTATTCTAGTTTCTGTTGGTGATACTTAATGGCAGGAGTGGTTCTGTTACTGCACTGTACTGGTGTAAAGGAAAGAATAAACACAACAGAA